TCCTGTTAAAGGATCGGTTCGCAATGTTAAATTCATAATACTAAATACTTAAATGGCCATATGTACACTGAAATAGTTTTTATAGATCAGTTCTCAATGCTGTACCAGTATAAGATGTCTTTCTGTGCAAAAATACATTTATTAATTTAACGCAGTGAAGTTGCAGATTACAACCAACTGAATACAGCTCAGCCTTTCAAGTGTGTATGAGAAACTACGGCCCTATCGAGAGCCAGTGTTAACACAACAGCTCAGTGTAAGGTAACAAAAACACTACGATTGTTATACTCGGGTGATTATACGCTCATAAAAACAGACCTGTAAGTATTTTATTCTATTTTAGGATAGAAAATGTTACACATTGAACCTTGAAGGTAAAATTATTGGTGGGGATGGTGGATGAGCTTTATTTTTAAAAAAGCAAGGCACTCTCCAGCTTTATTAAAAATGTTAAATGGACCCCATGTTGAAAAAACTAAAACTGCAAAGCCTCTCCACAAATATCTCAAAACAATATTAAGTTTATTATTAAACAAGTATAATTTCAAATTGTTTACAAATCTTTGAGATTTTCATTAAATTAAACTTTATTTTTGTTACTATCTTGCCATAGTTAAATGTATTTAAATTAAGTAATTACCTGTGTATATATAGTAGTACCACCTATGATAATGTATGACTGTGATCCAGCATTATTGTTTATAATTCTGTCACTGAAATCAGAATCAGTTTGTCATCAGACTGTATCAGAGCTGTTTTATCTGCTCTTTCACAGTAAAAGTATTGAACTGGTTTGTACATATAGAGAAGTATTGTATTAGATTAATTTATCCTTTAACAGCTGCACTGAAGTTCTTCCAGTACAGTGACATTCCTTGTTTATATTGATACCAAATGTTTATTTTAATATAATGTAATTTGTATTTTTTTTTTTTTTACAGTAATAAATAAGCAGAAACTTGAGTTTGAAACTTCTTTTTAAATTTATTTACACTGTATTGAGAGTCTTAGGTACACAAGGAAACCTTACAGGACTGTGTCGAGGTCCCAGACAGTTACTGTGGGGGAAAATAGTGATTATTGTAATTAAATTAGCATCGATTATGATGTGTTCTGTTTATAGGATCATATTCAGGCTTTCTACATGACCCTATGTGGCCTCACAGGTCCTTGAAAATGAGATGAAATACAAAAAAATAACAGCATTTAAAACAGTATTTGGCATTGGAAAGAAAAAGAGGACACACAGAAGAATATAGCCCCTTAAACATTGCATGGTCTTTTTTCTTTTTACGACAGCCATGGTATACTTAAAAACTACAAAACAAACATGACATGCAGACAAAGTAGAGAAATAAACAGAAAACACATTCAATAAGCAGAAAAAATGCAGAAAGATTGCATACGGTCTCTCCATTTTCTCTAACGTGTGTCGGGACTGAGATTCGCTCATTTCTCGAACAAAGCGACACTTTGTTGAACATCCCTTTCCCTTTAGTAATCCGATCTGCATTAAAAATACTATGTGTTGTAGATTGTGATTGTCTCTAAGCGATTCGAAGCGTTTCACAGCAACAGAATAAATGCAATCTCCTTTTCAAAAGGAAGCAAAAAAGAATCTAACACGAACCAGACGTTAATGTTGAAAATGAGACTGAACGCATCGTCACTCCAATTTGAGATATCTACATTTTGAGAACTTATCTGATAGCAAAGCAACTGTTAGCCATCTTAAGCCCTTTTTTTAAAAACACTGAACAATTTACATGAACATTTTCTCCCAAAAAAAGGATATATATGGTTTTTTAGGAGACCTTTCAAATACAGTGCAGACAGGACAATCAAATCAAAAATAGTCTAGTAACAAAACAAAAAAAGTCTCAACAGCACCTAAAAAAAAGTATGAATTAAAAAAAAAAGTAAGTTAACACTGGATAATATAACAATGCAGTGATAAATGTATCAAACAAAAATCTTACATATTTCCCTTTGAGATTATGCATACAGATGATGGTTAAAGGCACAATAATATAAATATGCACAGTCACTCGAGACACACAATGAAATTACACAGAAATACACATTCTTAACGGTCAAAGCTGCATGGGTGTAAATAAATCTTCAGGCTCAGTATTGTTCAGTCGTAATCTCAAAACAGTCCAGGAGGAAGTCGAACCCCCCTCCCCCCACTTCCAGTTTCCCTCGCCACCTACAGATGAAAAAAAAATCCCTTAAAGACAGTTAATGAGCAAAGTAGAAACGTATTGCACCGTCATCGTCCAACCGGGTCGTGGGGTTGTCATGTGGCTGAGCGATGAAGTAATTGTGGGACTGCAGTTGTCTGACGTAACTAAAATTCCCCAAGGTTTGAATAATAGCTGAGGTTGTTATTCAGTTTTAAAAATTGTTTTAGTAATTCTTTTAAGCAAAAGTACAAAAAAATTAAATAAAAATCACTTATATTGATAATAATATTTATTATTATTCCTCTATGATGGTAAATTGAATATCTTTGGGTTTTGGAGTTTTGATCAGACATAAATTAAAGATGTTATCTAATTGAATAATGCAGATTAAGCAGTAATAACAATAGTTGTTAGTTGCAGCTCTAGTTTTAGGTCACTAATACAATGAATGTCAGTTATATCAAATTTAACATGTTGAATAATGTCTGTGGAAACAAATGTCTAATTTACTTTTTGGTAAATTACCTTTTGTCATTCAGTCACAAAAAAAAAAAGAAGCTATTCTGATTGTGTAGCAACATGTAGAAGTAACAAAAGGTAATTCTACACCACCACGTTATCGTCTGTGTCCTGGTATATTGTCCTCCCACAATTCAAAGCGTTGTTTGCAAATAATGTGATGAGATGCTACAACTCAGGAAACTTTCAAAACGAAACCTCTTGAGTGAACTGTGATCCTGCGAACAATGTATCAGCTGAGTCAGAGGCTGAGAGGTGTGAGCGTGGATGGATTATGGGACAATAGGCCCCCTGGGGACAGACCGGCCCTCCTACACAGGAGCAACACAACCAGGACTGACATCCTGCAGGTGAACCAGAGCTCGCTGCTGTTGGAGCTTCAGTGTTTAGTTCACACTGGGAGGTACAGAGGCTTAGACTAAACCTTCCTGCCACTACAGATCCGCACTAGTTAGGTTTCCATCCTGTTTACTGAGCTCTTATCTGCAGTCGGGTTTCCATCCAAATGTAACACGAATGTTGACCAAATTTACAGAAAATCTGCATAAGTAAATACGAATTAATGTGCCTTTCCATCCACTGCTGTTAGGTAAATATTAGGAGTTGAGTGTGTTGAGTTAAACAGCTGCTGGCCCTAAAACAGAACCTGTTTTTATCTTAACAGTCTGTCTAATCAACAGGTTTTAAATGGTTTATGGAGCCTAAAGTAGGAGCTTTTCCCATAAAGGATTCCTTCCTTCAAATTCACCACATTTTGGAGACACCAGCGGCAGGGACCCAGATCCGTATTACATACTAATCCTGAGCAGGTTTTTAGTAAATAGCATCATCCAGACAGTACGCAGACTAAATACGCTCAATTTCTGAATTTGTGTTGCGTTGATTGAAACCATTCTCGAGTCACAGCTTGAAATAAATAAATCAAAGTATAGCTGTGATTGGTGGTGAAACAGCTCCAAGTATTACATCTTTAATCAAGATTTAAAACATTTTGTAGTCTATTTGTGAATTTATCTATTTGTGTTCAACTTTCTTTGACCTTCGCACTCCTGTTAGTATAAAGCGGTTTAGTACGTTTATATTTTTTTGTATACTAACTGCTAGAACATTATACTATGACAGGGTATCATATGGATTTGGGACGCAGCTCAGGTTTTGTTATCGCTATGCTCATGACGCTCCGCTTATGATCTTCACTGAGTCATACAGAACGGCCGGTCCAGGTCTGTCATAAGTCACACTCTCTCACACACACACTCTCTCACACACACACACACACACACACACACACAGTGGAGAGGTCAGGACAGCTGACTGATGGTGTGGGTTGGTCAGGAGAGGAGGTCATGACCGAGTTACACATCTTTTTTTTAAACCACATCTAGTACTGTCTGATAAATAGTTGAATGGCTACATGGGAGAAAAAAGGGAAATAAAACAGAAAATAAGAATGGGATTATTTCATACTGCAATACGATGCTTTCAAGTCTTTGAATGAGTGCAAAACAACCCAGAAAAGATTCTTTTAAAACAAATGTGATATTCTTTCATTTGTAACAGAGGCAAAATAAAAAGCTACAGCAAAAAAGAGAGAGAGCGCCAATAAATGACAATGGCCCTTTGGTTGTTCAGAGAGACAGAAATAAAAAGTAGAGGGATTGTTTGTTCCTAAAATAAAGAAAACGAGATAAAAGGCCAAAGAAAAGGAGAAAAATGGATGTCTTCCCTTCTGTGTCCAAATCAGTGCCAGTTTCAGCCGTGGTGAGGTTAGCTGCCGTAGAGGAGGGAGTGCTGGGCGTGAGGAACCTTAATTCAGCCGAATGATGCATCCAGTCTGTTTCTCACAGTCCGCTCCGACCCAAAGTCCGCCTCAGTACATTACCATCACACATCTCACAGTGAGTCTCTATCGTCAGTGAGGGCAGATTGGTGGTTCTAATATGCGAGCGTGTGTGTCGTTTGGGGGGTTCGTGGAGGATTTTTTTTGTCACGCAAGGTCACTCCACAAACCAACAGGACGACGACTACATTTTTCCCTTTTAGTGTGCGACAATCAACGCCGCCTCCTTTACAAGAAGTCCAGTTCCAGCGCTTGGTGGAGGGACACGAGGTCACCGTGAGTGGAGATCCGCCAGAAAGGCATATTGTGCTACGTAGAGAGAGAGAGAGACACAACCAAAGCAGTTTTAGACACAACACTTAATGTGCAGTCAAACAGACAGCTGGTGAAGCAAAGTGGGAAAACAAGAGCTTGATATAAAATACATTTTCATTTAATTACACTTATCTAACAAATCTGAGATGTTTGGAACCAGGATAGTAAAAAGAGGCAAAATGGTTTGTTTAACAGCCAAAGAGAAGCACCACACTGGACATTAATCGCTGCAGTAAACTTTAAAAGATCCATATAGACACAAATAGTCTGCTTTAAACAATAACGTGTGTCTGATATATTATATAGCACAGTGAAACTCAAACATCCTGCTGTAGGAACAACAAACATGAGTGGAGGAGGACTTTTAGGAGTTTAAGTTGTTTCAGAGTTTGCTTTATGATTATATAAACTTCTGAGTCGCGTGCGCTCACGTCTCGATGTGTAAGCTCCTTCGTCTGATGTGGACGCCTCTTAAAACAAACAAAGCGGGGTGGAGGATTAAGCCAAGTCTCTGTTTGAGTAAACTACCTACAGACTGACACACGACAGCACCAAATGAGGCAGGTTGTAGGGAGACACGAAGACTCAGAAGTTTACCTGTTTCGCTGCAAACTCCTCGTCTCGACCGTCACCTATAACCACGTAAGTCACTTTCTTCCCAAAGCGAGAGACGATCCTCTCAAAGCAACTTTCTTTCCCTGCGTGAAAGGAAACCACAGGGAAAATAATACCTTAGGCTGAGCGCAGAACCCCAAAGCAGCATTTTAATGCAATTCCCTCGTTCGTCACTGTAGAGAAGAATTCATTGTATTCTCATATGTACCTATTTTTGTGGCACTGTAGATGTTCTCGATGGGGAAGACGTCTCCCAGGCCGTAGAGCAGCACTTTTGCCAGAGCTGGAACCAGCTGAGTGGTGGTGACCAACACATTCATACACTTCCCCCTGTTGGTGGGACGACACACACACACACAGGATTCCAGTTACGTACATTTTCTAGACCTCCATTTGAAAAAGTGTCTTGAGATAATTTTTGTTATGAATTGGTGCTATACAAATAACACTGAAATAAAATTGAATTGAATAATAAACCCAATGGTATTTTTGAGATTTACAACATAATGGACAAATAAGAGGAGGAGGATCAGATTCCACTATGTTGCAATGTCAAAAATACCTTGGGTTTATCCTGATAGAAATATGAAAATGATATCATAGAAGAAGTGAAAGATCCTAAAAACAAACAATAATGTAAGAGGAATCCATCTAATCCATTAAAACTGTTAATGTACGAAGTAACTGTGGAGTAAAGACTCCTAAAGTGATGATCTCTTGAGTTTGAACTAGAATCACACAGTCACAGTGGACTTTGATCATTTGTTAGTGGTGAGCCAACAGGAAGCCTTCTTTAAGTTATCATGAGTCATGTATTATATGATTTGTACCCTTAAGTTTAAAGTTTAACCCACAGAGCTTTATCAGACTACAGACTTATTTACACTGTCAGTAATTTGAGCTGTTTATATGCATGTTGGGCCAGTTTAAGCTGAGTAAAACATAAAAACTATACTGAATACACGATATACGTTGGTAAAACTAATATTAACAATGACTGGAGTACAGCGTGTAACAAATAGCAGTGAGGTGCACAGTAGTGCGCTCTACTCATCTTGCTGCTGAGTTTATGTTAAAAAATAAAAACCTGGACTGGATGAGCAGCAGAGACTTGAGCGCTGTGCTGAGCCATGCGTCCGTAACGTTCTCGATCTCAGACTGAAGCCGTAGAAGCAGCTCCCTCTTCATAGGACTCAACAGGCCTGAAACAGACAACAGAAGTGCTCAACACAAACAAACAGTTCTGTTCATTTTGGCCACTGGGCTGTAAACATTACCTTGTTTGTTTCACAAAATAAAATCGGGAAAACTGAAGATCTGGTTTGCTTAATCAAATAATCAAGAACAACCCCACTCAAGTCAAATGTAGAACGTCTGAACAGTCTACTTTTCAGTTTAACCAAAGTAGTGGCACAGTTGCTGTCCTTTCATTTCAATCTCTGGGTGTGAAAGACGAACCTCCAACATTCCCTTTGTAGCTATTGTAGATCTCTTTTAGCCGGCGGTAGCGAAAGGCCAGTTTGCGCATCCACTCCACCCCTCCCTGGACTCCCGTTGTGGTTCCTGATGCCCCTCCACCACTGGGACCATTAAAGCCATCCGCCAAGAAGTTGTAGTTACTACATACGGGGAGGGAAACACATTTATTTAGGTGTTTCCAGTCATGACGCTGAAGTGTGAAATGAGACCAATGTGTGTGTGCGATGAGAACGTCACTGTACTGTTCAGTGTGTGTTTGTTACAGGACATAAAACACACCTCAGTTCTTGTCCATTGTCGTCAGAGGCAACATCCTCAACATGGACCTGATCACATTCCTTTAAAACAAACAAAACAAAGTCAAACTTGAGACAGACACTTTTATTGGCTGTGGATGTCAGCCCATTGTGTCTCCGCCCTTTTCTAAATAACTTCTGTTTTTTCAGAACTCAGGGAACTTGATAAGAGATCAGGATAGGAGATATTTATTGTCAAAAAGTAGATTATGGGGAAGTAACCTGCTGCGACTGACGGACAGAAGTTGAAACTGGTAACACCAGTCTGAATGTATCTCACTGTACCTCCAGGTCATTGAAGAAAAGGTGAGTGTCTGCTAGCTCAAAGATCAGCTCCTCCATCTGCAAGCCCATGTTCAGCACTGTCGCTGGGTCCTGAACAAATAAACAATACACTCAAGTTAACTTTTTCCCTTTTTACGCTGTACGCTCCAAACTTCTTCCAACTTTACTGAAACAAACCTTGCCAAACTTCTGTGCGTAGGAGCCGGTGAGCAGTGAGTGGAATATAATGATGGTCTCATCCAGATCCCACAGAAAAATACGCTAAAAACAGAAGGTGAGAATAATTATATTACTCATCTGCAGGTTAGGGAGACCTTGTGATTGGATCCAGACAATATGGGTTTAGCTTTTTCCTTAAACTCCAAAATGCTGCTAAGCTAATGACAAAGCAACAAGCACTTAGTGGTTTGTTTGTGTGTGCAGTGATAAATCAGCTGCTGGTCGGTTACCTCCAGGTCACTCTCAGCAGGCGGGGAGTTATCAGACTTCTTGGCCTTCCCTTTGGCTTTGCCAACAGAGTTCCTACGTCCAACCTCATCCTGATCTCTGGCTCCAGTGGGGAGGACCACACTGGTAGGAAGGGCCGCACCTGCTGGGAGGTTCTCCGGTGGGGACGCATCTTAGGACAAAAACGTTTTGGAATTAGTACTAGAATAATACATGTCTTCTGTTATGTGTCAAACTTGTACAAGAATTACAAATCCACATCCAGACCTGCAGCCAGGTTAAATTAATGGATATAAATACTGAATGTGATAGATAATCTAAAATAATCTACCTCTAAAGTTAAACAGAAACAATATAAATCAAAGTTTTGAAGTTACCTCTGGGGGGCAGTCCAGCTGAGGCGGCCTGCTCCGACTTCACAGCTGAATATCCGGCCACTCCCACACTGGCACTGTGGTCTTCGCCGCTGGGCAGCCCGGCAGGCACGTAGCTGGGAGGCAGACTGTAGTACTGAGAGAACTGACTCTGGCCCAGAGAGCTGTAGCTGCTAAATTCCTGGAGAAATATAAAAAAACAAACAAAAAAAAACAGGAGGATCAACAGGAGAAGGGTGGTGGCAAAAGAGCAACATGTGCAGAAACAATCTCCGCCTATTTAGATCTTCTCATATCATTCACTATAACTGTGATACAGTTAGGTTCTGTGTCAGTGAGCAAGCACCAATGTAGAAAATGTTAAATTCATCATATTAAGTTGTTTAATATGCAGTTATTCCAGTTACACAACACACTTACTGGCTCTGGGCTTTTAGGAGCTCAGCAGCAGAGAGATTTCTAACTGAATCTGAGCCAACCAAGAAAAATACAATCAGACTGAACACTACGACAGTCTCATTCACTTTGATCACCAGATCGTTAATGTGTAATCTGGATGGACACTCTCCTGCCACAGTGCTATTTCTTTATATCTGTGGCTTATTCAAGCTGTTTGTCTGCAGGGTGGAATTTCTTTTGGTAATTTTAAAGATGGAATACACAAAACCTTCATGACAATAAACACACAGAGAGTTTTGTTCTTCGTCTCTCTGAAGAACACCAACGTGCTCCTCACCTGGTGGGCCACTGTGGTAGAGGTTGTGGTGGCGGCTGTAGCTGAAGGGATGCTGGAGTACACACTGGATGTTGTGAAGCTGGAGCCTGAAGACAGAAAATGCTCAACTAAAAACAGCGGCAGAGGGAAATAAAGAAATATTTGTACTCAGAATTTGAAGTGACAAACAACAAGAGGGGGGGGGGGAAACAGAGCTGTG